TAAAATCTCTTCATAGTCAAATACGGGTTTTTATTACAGTTATCGAGTAACTTTGTAACTAGAAAATTCATTAAAATGACTGAAATCGAATCCTTTCTGTATTTATGTATACTGTAATTAGAGTTATTTTATCAATATATTTTAAATTATTTGTACTTTAAATACTGAAAATTATATCTAATATGTAAATGCCTCATTTAAGATTTTTAAAATTTGAATTGACCAATAAGCGTTTAATATAATTTAAAATTGACCAATCGTAGAATTTAGTTTATTTATTTTATAATTAAGTTATAAAGAAGTATTATTTTCTGTATATTGGACTGTTAATAAATTAATTTTCCCACTTGTGCCATTTATTTCAATAGGTGTTGGTCAGATACTATATTAAGACGGTCAACATCTGTTAAGCATTAAGCACCGAACCTTTCCATACATAATCAACTAGTGTCATCAACAAAATTCGTGTCCCGCGATTATCATTAGCGAAAATAAAATTAAAAATAAAAATTTCTAAAAATTAAAATGAAATTTTAAATCTCTTTAATATTTAAACTCACGATTTTCCTATAAACGTAAACGTGATCGTGGAAATTAAATTATTAATTAAACAATATTATTTATGTACCTAAAACAATTTTAAAAAATCATTTTAATTTGTAAATTCGTTATTACAGTTTTTAAAAATTTGAATCGACCAATACGATTTTAATGTAATTCAAAATTGACCAATCGACTGTGATTTAGGAGATTTATACGTTTTTTAATGAAAATTTAAGCTTACTTCGAAGTAATTAAGCATTTTCGGTTATTTTTGATCCTCGATGCGTGGGTTCGTGGTTTATATTCAAACAAGAGTAATTCGTTTCACAAGAACCGCTTTCGATATTTTTTTAAGTGTCTTGATAAAGAGTAGGTGGGTCCAGATAAAAAAATGTAGAAAAATAAATAAAAATTCTGTTAAAATTAGTGTAGAGACAGTTTTGTTTTTAAGTAATAACCCGTTAAAAACTAAAATTTCTGGATTCTTAGAAAATTTTAATTGCATTTTTGTAAGAAAGTAATTATAATTTGATTTTTCTAAATGAAATCTTGAAGACTCTCTTATTAAAGGTCAAAATAATCGTAAAAGAAATAAATACATTTTAAGATTTTAAAGGGAATTAAACTTTTCTAAATGTAAAATGAAGCAAAATTCAATTAATTGGTTAAAGATAATGAAGATATGACGTACGGTATACAAAGCATTGCTTTAATTTTTCAATTTATATGAAGCTAGAGTGAAAAATAATAATAAACTCGGAAGAAAGGAATTATTTTGATTTTTAATATAGTTTTAAAAATCGCAGTTTTACGAGACTCAAAAGACTGTAATTTTTTGAAGTTTAACGAGTCCATTTTTACGAGTATCGCCGAATAAAAGTAATGTTTTTCCAAAGAGCGACAACACCATAGAAATGTCTTGCTATGAGATTTCTCAGAACTGAGTTCTGTTTGTAGATCGACTATCATTTATCTGGTCTCCCGAAGGATGATCATATTCCACTTAACAATGACACCCATGAACTATTTAATAGATGGAGTAGAGTCACCATCTTTGTTTTAAACGAAATGCGTTGTGACTTCTCACTCAAGGTCTTTCTTTAATAAACTGCACTTGAGGGGTAAAGGGAAACCAATATTCGGTTGTTAATGGAGTCATGCAGTTTGCTACGAAGTTAAATGATGGCGATGGGCCATGGGGTCAATCTCAATTGGGGGTGAAGCGGGCGATTTAAAAGATGTTGATAGCATCTTCTACGATATCGAATTTTCTATGATTAAGTTTGATTTTATTTTTCTTTATATTAAATGTATAACTTCATTGGTTTTCGAAAGGGTTTTTAAAGCGATAAGTCCTTGTTTTTAAACTTGTTGCGCTTAAAAATCCCGACTATTTGTATCCATTTTCGAGTGTATGTTAAATAGTTTATATTTATTGGGGTAGGAAACAAGGTGAGTTGTTATAAGCTTTAATCCGTTCCCAATGTTCTAGCTTTTAACAATGTGTAAATGGATTCTTCGAGTCATTTTCTGTGTTTTTATTTATTTTACGAGTCATAGTTTAACATCATTTTGAATTAGAGTAAAGACAAATTGCTATTTTCAAACTTTAAACACGGTATAGTTTAGTGGCATCTTACGATTACCTATCAGAGCCAATTACCTTTTATTGGCCCCGTACAAATTTCAAGACCGTGCCCACAGAGGATTTGGAGCCCAATTCACTTCTGGAATAAATTAAAAATTAAACAGTACGTTTACTTTGTACCCGTTCGCTTCCACCTTAGTTTACTGTATTGTGTTACACTATACTAGGACGACCATATTGTTTATCTCTCAAATCGGGCTAAGATTAGATTATTTCTTTTTTTAAATATTTATATATTGAGCTATAAACAGGCTCTATTTACAAATTTATTTTAATTTTGAGGGTTAAAAACGGGAGTAATTTGGGACTGTCCCGAGCAAACTGTGACGTATACTTACCTAATGTCTTAAGGGCTACCTTAATGTCTGCGTACCTATTTTGCCAAAGTTAATAAACTCTGTTATGGAAAAATAATATATTTTTTAAAAATTCTGCGTGCGGGCTCGACAAATTATATAATATGTTAAATTACATAGAAAAACAAAGCTTAAGTTTTCGAGCGATCAACGAAATTAAAACTATCCTTTCTGATGAAAAACCGTTAGAAAATTTTAATTTGAATAATTTTCGGTCCGAATAGAACTAAAATTTTATTATAATTTATGCAATTTCAATTCAAATTTAAATTATATAAATATATACGGTATATACATATACAAAACGGTCCGAAAACTAGTTAATCTTATTTTTCCTATTCGTGTTTACAAATACGTGAAATAAACGTATTTTTAAACACGAATAGGAAAACGAGATTAGAAAAATATGTTAATCTTCTAGAAAATTAACGTACACACGTTAAGAGATCAATAAAAGGTGTTTCATTGTTCGAATAAATGTCAATAACTCGCTGTTTACAATGACCTAGCGTCCTAGCCTAATGAGTTTTTCATTACCGTTTTAAAACTCGTGTTAATTAAAAGAACCGGGACCGCCCCGAGAAATAGCGGGCCCGATGAAAGGTTGTACTGGGCTGTTTAATTAAGAAATTAGCAATTTCGAAAATAAAATAATATCTTAAGGGTAAACATACCACCTGTTAAATAGATTAGCGGAAATTAGTTAACTGAGCGATTAATGAAATGATCAGTTTTTAAATTTCGCGAGGATGGCGTTTAATTTTCACGAAAATTATAATAGAGATTTTAAACTTATTCTAATGGTTTTAAACTCTGAAAGAATCTCCATTTACAACGATACACTTTCTAAACGTTTAGAATTATTAATGCTTAAATTGGCCATAATTTCTTCATACTACAACTGAAATTTGTCATCACTTTTTTAAAACAAAGTTAATTTTGAATTTAAACGCTCCTTCAAGCGATTAAGTCCGTTGACTATTTTAAATAATTGACAAATGGTCTTTAAAACGCTCTCGAAATACAGTAATTGTTTCAATCGCGTGTACGAAAATTGATCTAATCTATCAAATATCGATAAACAATGAGAAAATTTCACATTTTTTAGCTTTTGTATAAATATCATTGTCTATAATTCCTTATTAATTAAAAAATATAACTAAATTTTTATTTTACTTTTTAATTGTTTTGTTCTTTATTTTGTGGCGCTTAAAACACGATTTTAATAGTAAGATAACCATAAAATTTACATGAATTTCTGTTATTACTTTGTTTCGATAAATTAACGTATGGATTTAATTTACAGGATGGTCCAAAAGTCGGTTAACTGCGTAATTGGAAAGCAATTGAATGCAGCTGTATATCTTAGCATCGGAACAATAGAGCAATTTAGCCTTCCCTACGGTTCACTTATTTGCCCATCCTTTATACCTTTATTAAGAATAGTATAAGGAAATAGAGTAATTTATGAATAATATAATTTAAATAATTTAAAAAATATTTATTATAATCTTAATGAGATACGGGTGGCCCGAAAGTCGGTTGACCGTATAAAATATTAAATTGTACCGATACCGAACTATACGGCTGTATTCGAACGTCTTCGGATAATGTAGTTAATCGACTTTTGGGCCGTCCTAGGAATTTTTCTCTTTTTATTACTTATAAACTACAAAAATTGCGTCGAATTTCTGACAAACAATGCAGTTAACCGACTTTAGGGTCACTCTATATGTTAAATTTATATATTCATTTATTTTAATCGATTAATATACGAATTTATTAATATTAATACTAACTTTTCAATTGTTCTACTAGTGAAATAACAGTTTCGCGTATCGAAAACAATTTCAAAAGCATTAAAAAATCGCATTTTTTTTTAAAATTTAATTTAAAAATTATAGATTTAAATGATTATACAGTGGAAACTTCTGATGATGTATATAAATTTATTATTATATTTTAGTTTTAAGTTTATAAAGGTAATATTTTTTATTTTTTGATAAAAAAAAATAAATTTAAAAATTTAGTAAAAATCTATAAATCGATTTATTTTTAAGAAAATATAATCTAGATTAAAGAGAGGGAAACAAATAGCAGCTGTTTGGCTGGTTCTTAAAAATGGATAAACCTTTGCCATTCGATTACGTAAAAATCCCGTAATTTCTTCGTTAAAATAGCATAAATTTATAATTATTTGATTAAAAAGTGTTTAAATGAATTTTATTGTTAGATGATTGTAACCACTTCAGAAATACACTTAATAAGAATTATATTTTAAGACTGGTGAAAAGAAAAAAATGAAGCGGAGATGAGCTATAGTTCTAGTGCAGCGTGCGCTCGTAACGGTTCCTAGACAACCCACCCCCAACACACAACTCGGCACACTATTGGCTGGCGAGTGCTGACCTCATAGGACAAGATATGATAATGAGTGACGATGACACGTGGTATAGGCCATTCAAGTCAGAAGCGTCTCGAAATACAAATGCCCACGGCAGCCGAATCGGTTACAGAAATGTCTAATGCGGAATTTATGACATTAGCGACTTTGGGTTTAGTTCACGACAAGCATTATCGTAGGCCAATGTTAAAGGACGGTCGTCTAGCGCGATCCTTTAACGAAGAGCAGATGAAACCCAGCTTTCAGCAGATAGAATACGATAACTTTCAGTTGGTTCAACAAGAATGTGGTAAACTTCAAAGGAAGAGAAGATACAGCAAAAGAGATTTGGATATTCAAGACACTCACGACAGTTCTAGACCTAGAAAAAGACCGTCGCAATCCTACGAAGATATGCAGAATCAGAGGATTTTGGCCAACGTTCGAGAAAGGCAGAGGACTCAAAGCCTTAACGAAGCTTTTGCATCGTTAAGAAAAATCATTCCTACACTTCCTTCGGACAAACTCAGCAAGATCCAAACGCTTAAATTGGCGGCAAGGTACATCGATTTCTTGTATCAGGTACTGAAAAGTGACGAGCACGACACCAAATTGGGTAGTTCTTGCAGTTACGTGGCACACGAAAGACTCAGCTACGCATTTTCTGTTTGGAGAATGGAAGGAGCTTGGTCGGGACACTAATTTCTATTGTACAATATTCTAGAAGGTAAAGAAAATGACAGAAAAGGTAATTTTATTGTTGTTATGTATATGTTCGAACCAAGATTTCTTATTGTAAAGTTCTATTTTTAGATAATTTTAAAGTAAAAAAGACTTTTAACAATAAATTTTTCTTCATTTTATTATTTAATTTAAGTTATTATATATTTAGAAAAGGAAACACGCCTTAAATTTTCGTATCTTGTGTTAAATGAATTCGATTTTTGATGAAGTAAATTAATGTTTTTTGTAAAAAAAGAAATTTTAAAATAAATAATTTAAAGTATAAAATTAGGTAGAAGTTTGTTTATATTGGAAAAATGACCTAAAATTGCTCGATTTTAGAAGGATATTTTAATTAAAATGACGTAAAAATTAGAGTAAAGCAACGATAAACAATCGTTTAAAGAATGCATTAGTCGAAAAATAAATAATATAATTTATATAGGAAAGACGTTAATAAAAAAGTGTTCATCATCGTTTAAAGAAAGATATGCCGACAGATATCATCAATTACTCTAGAATTACTCGAACGACGTTAAGTAGCCGAGGGATTAAATTACTGAAAATAACATTAATATGCGAGCACCTGATCTATGTAGTGCCAAAGTGGCCCACATAGAACAGGCGTGGGACTATTCACACGACTTTAAACCCTTTCCTGCCAAGGACAGTGACTAAGATAGTCTCTTTTCCCTCTAGCCTCGCTCTCCCAACAGCCAGAATGACAGCCATGGGATGCAGGTGTCGAGGATGTCACAGTTTTTCACAACATCCGCTAAGGATAGATTTACCACACTTCGTCATACAACTGCTGGGTTCGCCAATACTTTTGACGTGTTCCCATTAAGGGGAGCTAGAAGATAAAGAATTTTCACCCTTCTATATGTATATACTGTAATTGTCGACGTCGAAAAATTCTTTAAAATCATTCTCACCACTTATATCTGTATATAGAAAAACACTTAATTTCAATACTTTCTTTTAATTATAATTCCTTTTATTTTTAGATTTAGTTTTATATAAAAAAAATAAAATAAAAATGAAAATAAAATTTTGTGCCTATGGGACATCGTGCAATATACTTTATATATAAATATATTATAGATTACGACCAATTTTAGTCAAATTTATGCCTGCTTTGTGGCTGCTATTTTGGTCTTATGTGATATACCATCTTATATGTATAATGTAGATTATTAGTAAATTATTTTAAGGAAGAAATAAAAGTATTTTCTAAAATTTCTTTTATTCTTATTTTATAGTTTATAAATTTCATATAAAAACACGCTTTATTTGCGTAAAATATTATTTTTTTTTTATAAAGGAGGACTAAACACGGAGTCGTTTTATATGCACGGAATATAAAATTTAATAAAAAAATATATAGCCTATATAGATTCTGAGTTATAAATGATATGCTTTAAATGCTTAATAATTATCTTTATTTTATAATATATTTTATGTGCATAAAATATAACGCTGTTTTCTAAAAGAGTCAACTTTGAGTGGTTGAAATTCCATACAAAAACCTTCATATATAAAAAATTTAATGTGATTCTTTATCAAAATTTATGTTTTGAACAAGAGAAAAAATAATAATAAATTTTACACAAACAGTCCTTAAATTTACAAATTTGTGAACTTTTAATATAATTTTATAGGGTAATTTCTATCTTTAGGAAACCGAAAAATTACCTGTAATGAATGTACTTTCAATACAAAGAGTTTTAACATCTCCGTAAAACGTTTAAAATCAATTTTTAAAATTATTTTTCCTGAAAGAATCTCGAATTATTCGAAGTTAACAAAAAATTCAACCTAATGAAAATCTATGGAGGTATTTAATTATTTCTTAAACAGATGTTAGTGTTTTGAATTTACAGGATGACGAAATATTTAGGAAAATAAATAATAAATTCATTAATTATAAACGACCAACTGATTCGAGTGTTTCGTTTACTCCATTTGACACCGAATAACGTCACGAAGCATGTGTTAAATTATTTAGCGCTAACACCCATTAATCTTCTCATTGAACAGCATCGGAGAGTCGACACTTTGACGAAAGATCGAGTGTTTTTTCATGAATTTCTTTTAAAAAAAACCGCCAGCCCCCGGCTTAAGACATTTTTTAAACAAACCCCAATCGAAATATACATAAACCATTCGTCGGTTTTGACAATCGACGTTATTAGCGCGCGTTATGAATTTAAACGGAGTAGTTTCTTAGTCGATCGCAAATTTAATTATCCGGTTCCATTCTTGGACGAAACTCGGTTAAAAAGGGAGGGCATGCCCGGGTCACGTGATCGACGACCCGATCGAATAACAACTCCTGTCGGCGGAGATGTTAATCTGCCCGGTGGGGGTCCGAGTTCAAAGTTCAAGCTGTTCAAATCTGTGGCGGAGTGCAATTAGTGGGAGACATCATTTCCGGTAATCTTACGATAGCGACGTTATTTCCTGAGATATAATTTTAAATTGATTACGATTAGGAGAAGAAGAGAAAGATTTCTGCTGCCGAAGATATCGAGTCATCATACTCTACAGTTGGGAGTCGTGTTTCGGAAAGAGACGAGAACTAATAAAAGACAGAGATATGTCATCTCCTACAGGGCCAAGGGCACGCTTCTGGTACCTCACTTTTCTCCTTCTGTCTGTCTTTTTCGGACACGACGAGAAACCCTACTGGAATTACTACCGTCTCGAAACGGCAATCAATTAAGTGGCCAACTTTTTTCTTTGCCTTTTCCCCATTAAGCAGGTTTTGCTACATAAAATAAATTTTATTCATTTCTAAAAATTGTCAACATTATTATTTTCGTTGGGTTTAAAATAATTTAAATTTATCCGAGGCATAAAGAACTAGAAACGAAACATTAAAGGGGCGCGGTGATTATTGCCGACATTTTCAAAGGCCTTAACTTGTAACATATAAGAACCCTTCCCGCCCACAAAGTAGTAGGAGATTTAAAAGCGCGAGGCCTTAGCTTTATGTAAATCGGGCCCCGCTATAAATACACTTTAAATTTCACGCTGCAGTCGATATCTAGACGTTGTTGCTGTTACGTATAAAGCAAACGACTTCATTACGGACGTTTTCGTAAAAGCAAGATTAATTTGTCCATTAATTCGTTTGAACCTATTTAATGGGGTCGAAGCGAAGTTGTTAGGAATGCTAATAAAAGACAGGGAAACTTAAATCCTTTATGAACTGTCAACTAGTGATGCGAGGAAGTAAAAGAATTTGGTTTGCCAACTTTCCTCCCACAGTAAATATAACACAGGAAACGCGGAGGGAGGGTGAATGGTTAGGAGAAATCTTCATAAAGCCGATTCGGTATAAGTTTGTTTTTCTTGACACGAAAACAGTCAACTTAGCGAATTTTCTGACTCGAATTTGACAGAGACGCTCGGAACAGCCAAATATAGGTTTGGGGAGTGGAGAAAAGTCCTTCAATAAAGAATAACCACAACTTGGTAGGTCTTCTGCATTCGAGACAACTGATTGAAGTCTTGTTTTTAGAAGAAATGGGATACGACTTTTAAGAGTTATAATAGCTACCAAAACAACAAACTTTTACCACACCTGCGTGCATTTTCTTAATGTTTTCTTTTTCTTTTTTTAGGTCCAAAAACACCGATTATCTATTAGAAAACAAGGCTCTATCTTGTCTTACTTATTAATCCCTCGAGAGTATAGTAATTTGATCCTCGACTGACTAACAATCACGTGACACTAGGGGTCCTCCGGATCACGTGATGGCAATCAATAATAATTAGGGACAAGAGTCGTCATTAAATTTCCGAGTTCATTTATCTTAACGAATCTCCAAAATCACCTTATTCCACGGACGAGCCCAATAACGACAATCGAATTTAAGGATCGAGTCGAAAAGCATTATTTAAATTGTAACTTTACGTTTTTGTCGTAATTATTTAGTATTTAATTGGGTTGCAAAATGTTAGTAAACGACATAGTTCGACTTTAGAAGTCGAGATTTATCGGGAAATGTAAGAAATGATGGTCGAGATTCGTCACCAAAACACAAACTTATATGGTTAAATATAAAGAGGTTCCTGTTTTGTATATGATCCAATCTATAAATAAATTTATAACTGGTACAAACACAATCGATATTATTAGAAACACGAGCATTTCAAAACACCTGTTCCAAACAGTTCTAAATCGAGTACAATCGACTCTAGTTATATTCTTTCTTTTCAGAGAGACTTGAAATAAATCTTTCAATCTCGCACTTATGAGTTGTTCCTATGAAAAACGTTGTATAATCAAACTTTTGAGCGAGTCTCATGTCGCAAAGTAAATAAACACGATGTTCGCTAGACTGATAAAGTGACTCGTTGCTGGCAGGCATTAACTCGACTGCTTAATTTTGTTATTTAATGACTCTTTCTGCTAAAATCCTTTACTCGGTGCAACCTCGGAGATGCCAAATTAGTAGTAAAGTGTGTGACAGCAACCTCTTCGCCGTTAGAAATGACTGGGTAGCGAGCAAATTTATCGTTGCATCTCTTCTAGGAATCGAATCAACTTTTATAGAATAACCCAATCGAGAATGTTTATTTCTAGAATCGTATCTACATTTAAAAAAAGCCGAAAATAAGTATTAAGATCTAATGCAATTCACCGAAAAAGCATGCGAAATATTTAGCTTCCGTTGGTGTAAATTTTTCTTCAATGAAATATTTCATTGAAGAAAGAAATGAAAGATTTTTCAGACAAAATATCGCAACAAAGAAGTCTTTGAGAGGCTCGGAGAAATCTGTGGGGACAGCAGTAAGCGTAACCGTGAACTTTAACCTACAACATCTAAGACTACCGAAAAGACAGATGCAATTTCCTACTTTATTCCACTCTAAAAATTATATTTTACTTATAAAACTGTAGGACGAGACAGGTTTTCTTCAAAAAGTAACACCACGCAACACGATTGTAGCTTCGTACGAACCCATCGAGTTGTTAAACGAATTACAGGTAACTAAATATTGTCTGTAAAGTACAATTCGATACTCGCCTCATTGTTCGAACGTTCCCGCTCGGTAGGAAAACATTCGAAGAAACAACATCGTGGTGATTTATGGGTATGTACCCTGACGTAACGTGGTAGTTAGTGGGAATAATATATCCTTCTTAATTCTTCGACTGCGAAATAGATATAATATTGAAGAGTAATTCCCGAGTCACCTCTTTAACTCGGCCTTTAACGACTTCGACTCATTTAGTGGAATTTTACAAACGGTGAGAGGGAGTGGGAGTGGAAATGCTGTCATCGTGTCAGAGAGGGCAGAGCAGGTGTGGTTCCCGCTGCGACAACACATGGTCTTCCTTAAAGATTCCGTTCCGAGAACAATTAAAATTAGTCAATTTAGACAAAACCTTTACTTTTGTAAAATTTACTTTGGATTTTACGCGCGACTCCTCCTAATAGCGGGTCTAGTTTCTCCACTCGACTCCATTTTTACTCTCGTTAATAGAATCGTAGGACCTAAACCTCAGCTCATTAACTGTCCCCTTTTATAAATTTGCTGTCGAAGCAAGTACATTCCTGTATGAAGCAACAAAGAGGAACCGAATTGGGGAGTTAGACAAACTCGCGCGGTATGTCTTTCCTTCATTAGATGGACATGACATCTGCCTGACAATATATAGATCCCATTACGCATCGCCCTTCTGTACGGGATGCTCGTTAGACATTTACATTCGGTCGAGGTGTCAATGTTCGTTATCGCATTTTTTTCAGTTGCAAAAAAACCCGAAAAGAAATTAACAAAATATGGAAAGGAAGAAAAGCCATTTTGTAAATAAAATAAAACGCTTCTCTGACATTTTGATAAAAACAACGCTAACGGCTAAAGATGTTTTTTTAAATTGCGACCGACGAGGGCCCGAACTTCTAGAAATTCTTTTTCTAAAAATAGCATTTGGGATTATTTTAATATCGCCACCTGCTAAGATTGGTCAGCGGCGAGTCCGATGACGTCACGGCCATGTGGCATAACGTTAAAGGATGAGAGGATGATTGATACGGAGAACGAAGAAAAACTGTGCTGATATTAGAGGCAGAGCGTAAACATCCCATCTGGGGAGGTAGTTCCCACGTGAATGGCACACATGACGTCACGCAGAAGAAAGAAAAGAAAACCCGGATCTAAAGACTTACATCCGGGACTCGGCATCGTCGCAT